TTTCTATTTCTTAATTAATTATGCCTTAAAAGTGTTGACAATATTTTTAAATTGTTGTCATTTGAAGCCTTCATTCATTGAAAATATTAGATTACATTAATTAGACATAAGATTATCATTACATTTACAGTTATTAAAACATGTATTTATATATCAAAACAATAATAACAAGATATGCTATTTATTGAAATAATTCATATGTTTTACTATTTATGATTGTTTTTGCTATTAATTTGTACATAAAATGACATATTTTTCAATCCAAAAGCTTTTGTGTCATAAAAAGCAAATACCAGTCATTTTAAAGGTTATGTCTTGTGGTCCGTGAATATAAGTTATAACTAAGGCTAGAAATGATATTTTTAATGTATATTTCAACATGATTCATTCGTGAGATTCTACATTAAAAGTATTAGATTAAGGTGCAAAACATACAAAATTACACTTTAATATATATTTTTTGTCACCAAAGTGTCACTTTATTTCTAGCCAATTTATAACGCAATAGTGTTTCCCATTTTTACACAGTTATAACAAATACCTGTAATTATATTTCAATGACTTTTACATAGTTTCTTTAGTATTGGCTTTTCTATGATTTACTATATGACCAAAAATAAGCACTTTATTGAACGATATAAATGATTATTTTTGGAGAGAACACAGAATCTCATTAAATATTAATTTTTCAATTTATATCTTATAAATTACATAAAAAATTGGTTGAATTTAAATATAGCTATAATTTTATGAGATTTGGTTATTTTGATTAAATCCGTAAATTTACTGTCGAGTTGTCAGACTATAATCGGATTAAAATTTAATATAAGGCAATTGAACTGGGTTTTAATTAAATTATAATTATCATTGTTATTATAAGTAATTTTTACGAATGTTTTTTTGTTGTTGAAAATGTCATGAATTATGAATAATATAAGTGTGTATTAAGAAATTGTTAATTTATATTTTAAATATAATTCAAATTCTGTATTAATATTGAATATTGTTTTACAGAAAGAGACATATCTTTGCACCGCTTTTAAAATGCATACCCGAGACCATCGATATATAGGTTTGTAATCAATTGTAAACATATGCAACATATTTTTTGGTTCATAATAGAAAATACCTTTTTTGTATTATTTCACAAATCCTTTATATATTTGAACAATTAATTAAAATTGTTTTTAATATAACATAATGTCTATGAAAGCAGTTGGCATTTAATAAAATTAATTTCATTTAACAGAAGGATATAGTGTTATATATCTATTAATATATAAAATTTAAATAGTTTCTAATAATATTAATAGTTGAGTACATTATAAGAAATGAGGATTAATTATAGAATGCATTAAGAATACAAGTGAAGTGACATTAAAGGTATTTTCAATATTCTGTGAATGTCTATCAAACAGTCTGAATATTAAAACAGTTGCAATAAATGTAGTTTCCGTTCCCTTCTCTCTATTAGATTAGTTTACAATACAAATGTGTTTTTATTACATGATTTTAATCACGTATTTGAATGTTTAGTTGAATTTAAGCCAAACGCCACTATGAATACGGCTCATCACATCCTGATATACGGGTGCAAAATACCCGGATATCATGAAAGGGATACGCCTAGGATTGTGTGGGACTGCGGAGAAATGGCCAACTCTAAGAACGAGTACATTCGGGCGCCCACCTGCGCCTCCGGTTCAGAAATTATCTACGCCTGGGCTATGGATGCGCCCGCACTGGTCCTACCAGAAGGTATGTTTGATTTGCACAGCCATATGTTTTATGTTTTTCTATGATAACAAACATTAAAATCAAATTCATTGATGCGAACAATGTTCAGGCGTTGGTTTTAAGGTCGGCGGCGATACAGGTGTCAACTATTTGGTCCTTCAGGTCCATTACGCTCACGTCGACAAGTTTTTAAGTATGTTTTCACAGCGAATCCACGTTTAATGCATGAATTCATCCCTTGTTTTTATGCTTTCAGACGGAGCTTTTGATAACTCTGGCATTATTTTGAAGCTTTTACCACAGAATACACAAAAGTAATTGTTATATACTTTACTTTACGTGCATTTATATGACTGAAAATATTAAATTTTACAAATGTTTTCTTAAGGGTCAACAAAAGAGCCGGAGTTCTACTATTAGGCACCGGAGGATCGATTCCAAATAAATCAATTGGTTTGTTAACTAAAATAATTGTTTGCATTATTCATTCATAATATGTCACATTCAACAGAGCATATGGAGACCGCCTGTACTATAGACGAGCCGTTAGAGTTACATCCGTTTGCATTCCGTACGCACACACATAAACTCGGAAAAGTTGTCTCAGGCTTTAGAATCACACCCGACGGTCGATGGACTCTCGTTGGGCGACACAATCCATTGAAACCACAGGTTTTGCTCTCATTTTTATTCATCAAATAGATTGCGTTAAATACGAAAGAATATTATATTGAATTACATTTGTGTTCAGATGTTTTATTCGGTGAAAGACAAGGATCTAGTGGTGCGCGAGAATGATGTGATGGCCGCGCGCTGTACAATGGATAACTTCTTGGACCAAACCGTGAGAATTGGATCCACTGGTGACGACGAGATGTGCAACTTTTATATGATGTATTACGTGGACGGCGACCGCATCCTCGAGAAGAAATACTGCTTCAGTCCCGGACCGCCATTCTATTACTGGACATCCGATCCCATTATACCCAACGATGGATTTGTTCCCAAAGCTATTGATATCGAAGCGAGTCGTCTGAGTGAAGACGAACAATAAGTTTTGTCGATTCCATTGCAATCACTTAATGACAGTCAACAAGTCTTATGCTTTTATTTTTCTATTCTGTGTTACAATTGTTTTATTTTAAATTTCTATTTATTGTGAATTCTTTTTTATTGATATTTTATTTTTAAATTTTTTAAATATATTTTCCGTAAATTGATTTGATTACAGGATTATACATAAGAATTATTGTCTGTCACTTACGGTCTGTTCAATCATATCTATGACATTCACTGTTGTGTTTTTGTTGTGCCAATTGTTTAATTCATACATTATTTATTGAATTTTAAAGTATTTATTTAATCGTTACTGTGTTTGCATTCTCTCACTTTTCCATCGTGTCTTTGAGTATAATTTATTTCCCAATTCATTTGCTTCTCATTAATTATCTTAACGTAAACTCTCGTATCCTTTATATAAAAAAATCAATTTTCTCCAACAAAAAAACGACATTCAAAGCTGTCAAACACACGAAACGCTTAAATGAGTGCTTAAATTGTGATGACTCTAGTCTTATATGAAACACTTGTTAAATGATTTGAAACCCAAAACGTTTTTTAAATTTAAATGTATTTCAAAAACTATTCATTTTATATTTCATAGAATCTGAAAGCGATTGAATGAATCGGTATTTTTGTGAACAGGTTTTAAAGATCACACTATTTTTCGGTGTTGTTTTGGTTTATGATTTTAATCAATGAAATAATCAATTTTAATATTGGTATAAATGTTGATACAAACTATCCATTCATTTAACTTTCTATAACTATTGATTAAAGGTAACAAAAATCATGTGTTAAAGACTGAAAGAAAGATATTTTAAAAAGCGTTAAATTGAGTTAAAGTTTTATTAAAACAGTTTCCACACTATTATTACAGAAATATATATAAAAAAGTTATTTAAGAATTGAAATTTCAATTTTATTGAATAAAATTGTATTTAAAACCAAATAAATTACAAATAATTTACGCCATTTTATTAACAATTGTTGAGTGAAGTGACGACAACTGAGTCGTCCATTTGTCTAAAGCGTTATAACGTGAGGCGCTATTCGTACTTCGGTTCAGTTCCAGCACTTGGTTCACCTGATCTATACGGCCCTCAATTGTACTGCAATTCAATGTTTTCGCATTTTATACATTAATTTCATTTCAAATAAAATTAATTATTTAATTCTCAGATCGATTGTCATTTCACACGAATACTCACTTATCGAGAATACATGAAACCAATAGATTCTCCACTTCACACACGTCTATATTTAGCTCCTATTAGTCGTTAAATTACATTATTCTATGCGTTTAAGCATTTTTATAGAGGCATTACCTTTGAAATGAATGGGATTTGAATTCTAGTGTAGGGTTTGATTAGTTTAATCAACACTTGTGTCCGAATATTACGTAATAGATCTGACAATTGAGTGATAAATAAGTGTTAAATGTGTCGTAACATTGAATGGGAAGCAAACCAATCGCTACCTTCTATGTGTTCCTTAATGAACGGGTCATCCATTATTGTCTTCCTATTGGTCCTCAAGATCTTCTCGAAGTCGTTGATATCGTTGTTCTGATAAGCGCTCACCAGATTAGTCATCGCCAGAATCTCCGAATCGTTTTTGTAGGGTTTGGCCTCTTGTGAGTCGAACGGATTGATTCCCGATTTCATCAACATATTGGCCAAAACCAAATACTTGAGGCAAGTCGTGCGTCGAGGGCTACCGGACTCGTCGTAGTTCTTGAACGCCTCGAAGAAGTCCGTGTGTGCCTTCTCGTACTCCCCTTCACGCAAATGCATTTTCCCACCGCATTCTGACACAAAGCAATCACATTCAACACTACATGTCATAACACTATTCACTATTAGCTAACCTCTAATGACTCCCATAATCAACGGATGAGGAATTGCAGACTTTATGTGAAGTGACTGTTCGTATAGTTTCTAAACAAAAATAATTGTAAAATAAACGTTGATTTTAATGGCAAATAATGAGTAAAAACCTTAAGTTTTTTATTATTCTTCTGCTGTGTATACATCTGAATCTCGAGGGCATAGATCTCGAGGAGTTGAGTGCCTTTCTTAAGGTCATCGGTTCCGTCGTCGGTCTGACAGGACTGATGCAGTTGTTTGAGAATACGCGACAATTTGTTGAATTCATTCCTATCGTAATACAGTTTTCCTAGTTTTGTGTTTGTCTTAAACCAAAGCCTGTCATTCTTGGCGTCCTTTAGCGCATCCAACGTTGTTTCGTAGAACTCTTGCAACAGTTCCATCTGATCCACACAATCACTCACATTAGACACATATATCACTGCTTTTAAACCATTTGAGATTAAGACCTGTTTCGAAGTGGAGATGTAGTCGAGTATAGAATTGATGGACTTTTCCGAGTAGTTTCTGGTGACAGCGGTCTTGATATAAGTCAACAATTGCTTATATCTGGCCATCATTTCCGAGAAGTTTGCCTAAAAATCACAGCAAAAGCATCGGTTAATGGGAAACAAAGGGGCGAAACAGGAATAGAGTGCCGGTCTTTTCAAATACCAGTTTAAAGTTAATTTTGATCATCTGTTTGAGTGCTTTGAAACCCCACTCTCCCTTCTCGCCCGACTCCAAGTCCAACACCCGCTGGAAGTTCTGCAGCGCGTTCTTCGGGTCGTCCTCTTTCAGGGCCTTCGAGTTGTAGTATTGGTTCTCTAAGTCCACGTCCGGCTCACTGTTGCTGTCCTCCGAGTACTCCTGAAGACAAGCGGCAATCAAACAACACATGAGATGACAATTGCGGC